AGAGGCATTGTGATCAGTGCAACATAAAATACTAGATGCTGTTTTATAAGCTGTAAACATACGCTATTTTTGTTCATTAAACAAAGTACTATTAATATTGAATTTTCTATTTTATCGTTGGATATTACTTTCTACAGAGAAAATTCTGTAGAATTTAGGAACACTCATAGTATCTTGGACGATATTGCGGCGCTTTTCACGTAATACTTTACGATCCAAGATACGAGCGTGAACGAACAAGCGTAAGCACACGTTAGTCATTCGCGTAGAATGCGATGAATACATATAATACAAGAAATATCGACACCGTTCAAAAAGTGTTACTTTTTATGCATCTGGCGGAGCGCACTCATATATTATCGAGCATCGTAGCGGCATTTAAAAGCACGATTCCGTTCATATTTCTTTTACGTGCAGCATGGGCTAAGTTCTAAAGTGAATTTCAATTGGCGGCCCGACCGAGCGCTGTTTTTATTAATCGCAATTTCAAACCAAGAATAAACATGATGAAGTTGTAGGTATATTATATCTCAACATTTTCATCAGCGCAGTATAACTTTATAACATCCGAACTGTCTTTCTAAAAGTGTAATCGGGCTAACTTCCGATGCTTCAACGTTAACCAATCGACATAACGATAAAACCAACTCAGTTCGTTGCGTTAGTTCTCCTCTCTAAGCTATACATGTAAGCAAAATATATAGAAATATATAGAAACACAGCTGAAATTCTACTGCTAATCTTATAAATCTAATTCGCACAATTTTGCACACTCTGATTTGAATTGATTTCTTCAGTGAAATTTGTAATTCTTCGAATTTGGATTTTCATAATTTGATAATTACTTGCCCGATCAACTACCTTTTCACGATCCTTAGGGATACATGATCAGAGCTGTACGATTAAAGTTTAAAGGAGAAACCTTAATACTAGTACGAATTGCGTCAAATCATATTTTCAGATACGCAGGTGCAACTACGAGTAAATATAGCACGAGTAAATTTCTTGTTCCAAAGTTTCTCCAATTGCTCATCTTTGCATAGTTCTTCCTTTAATCTCACGCACGCGTGTAATCACAAAGTGTTATAACGAGCAGCCTTCGCGTTCTTCGTAAGCAGCATTGCCATATTATCGTTGTTGAAATATTATATTACAGGTCTATGAGAATCAAAAGAGGAATTAAGGAAAGTCAGAGAGTCTAAGATCATACATTATTTTAGAGAAATTGTGTATATGTAATTTTTTCTTATTTGTTTCTTCACAATACACAAAATATTTTAAAAATATATACATACACACACATACACACACACACACACACACACACACACACACACACACACACACACACACACATATATATATATATATATATATATAAAACATACAATATTTATAAAAAAATCACGTAGAGTGCATATGATCTTTTTATTAAATAATATATATTATATTTATATAATAATTATATTTTTATAAATAATTGTATCTTTCATGTCATAAAATGAATATGGTATAAATAGATAAAAATTAATTATGTATTTAATTGTATACTTTCTTTGGACTCTGATGTATTTTTTTCTTTCCTATCGAAAGCCATATCAGAAATTGCAGCTCTAAGGATCTCTAGGGGATTGCTCATTTGTATCGTCGCAATATTACCGGTATTCGACAGAAAATTTTTGTATCGTTCTGTTTCTGGGAAAATATAGGTGAGCTCTATGTATTCGATTCACGCTTCCTAACGGAAACCTGCTACGATTTACGAGGAATTAGCGATATTAACTTGCTGGATCCTCCGTAAATCTACCATAGATCCCACGAGAGTGACCGAGACTACATGCAAATTGGTTATAGATATACATGTACGAATGGATATAAACCTCGTGCAATAGATAAAGTGCAAATAACGCTACGTTGGAAGCTCGAAAAAGAGATAAACGCTCAAGGAAACCATAGTGTTACAAAATAACAAATATAAAATCTCTTTCAATCTCGTTGCTGTAATGGGCTATGTTACTTTCTTCAAAATATTTAAATTATTAATATTACGGTCCAAGAAGCGCATAATGTATAATGCATTCAAGCTGATATTTTTTGCCGATGCTTCCATTGTAACAATACACAGATGTCTTGAATATCACGGTGACGCGAAGCGTTTCGTTGAGCATCAAGCTGTTCCACTGGTAATCTCCGGCCGTGTTTCAAAAATGCTTTCCGGGGATTTAAGGATAGTAAATGGCTACGAGATTCTTTGGAAAATAGTAGAGCGCTTTGAAAATTAGTACTAAAATAATTCAGAAAAATTGTTAGAAATTACAAATGTGGCTAAAGCTCACAACATACGTTTTTCTGAATATTTAGTTACATATTTACGTTATATATATCTTCATTATGATTTGAAAAGCAAATATTTAATGAGCAAACAATTTCCATTTTTTAAAACATAAAACTAAATTAGAAATATAAACCGCTATTACAAATTATATTTGTAATTAATCTTTATTAATATGTAGCTATATATAGATTCTTCTCGAATAATTAATAATAATATTAAAATATTAATTATGTTTCAAGAAATATTAATTATGTATGTATCAAGATTATTTATATAATAATTGCTTTATTTGTATTTTAAGTGAAACAAGCGTATCAGATTGCTACTAAAAATTTTAACAAACATAGCCAGGGATTTCAGGAATTATCTATTCATTTAAACGCAGCTAATGGGCGAGCACAGCTCATAGTCGATGAGATCGTAAGAAAATACCGAAAGAAGTCGTCGCAAGCATTTTCGGGAGGATCAGAGTACTTAACGTGTTACAGCGAAAACAGAGAAACGGAAAAAGAACCGTGGTGGAGAACCGTGGCGAACAATACTGCGGGATGAGAAGTGGAAGGCGGCTAATGCGCATCCATTCCGTTACAGATAAATGGATTAGTTAGTTACGACACGGAACGAAAAGTAAAAGAGCGCGTCGGATGGGAGAATACCATCAGGAAGGGTTAAGGATTGATGAAAAACGGGGCACAAAAGGATCGGCGGGATATAAATATTAAGGAAGCTCATTACTGCTTGCGATGTATCCATTCATTCTGTTGCTCGATTGAACAAACCAGTTTCCTTTATTTCCAAATAGAGTAGTTAATTTTCACATTTTTCTCCAGCATTTAATTTAATGCAAAAAATATATGTTTGATTCGAAAGAAACTATAATAATAATAATTTATTTATGTAATACTTAACATATTTAATTCAGTTTTTATATAAAAGAATTATAAATATAAGCAATTGTTCAAGCGGTTTATTATTAATCTTGAAACACACAAGTCTTATTTATATTATCCGATTATAATAATGTTACTGATCGCAATATATTATTAAGTTAATAATATATTCGATATGTGGGAATTAATTAAATGCTGTTTATATCAATAGTGTACATTAATTGAATACATGTATCAATAGTACATGCTTTGTCATGCGTCAATATATTGCTTTGTTATCAACCAAATTATAAACAATATTATTCAACTAAACTTTTAAAACATTGTACTACCATTCAAGTGGACAGTGTGACAATATCCACGATGTCTGCGTCTCACTTTTATAAGAAATCTCATCAGAAATGGTCATTCATCAGGCGAAATGCTAATCGGTAATGCTGGCCATCGCTTTGGACTATCACTTGCGCTCAACCATAAAATCGCCTCTAGTGCTGGGTCAGGAATGCGTTCTACTGCTTTTTCTCGCGCCAAAGGATGCTCGTTAATTTCCGTAAACGACCTGGGGCAAATTGGAAAGTCTGAAAAGGAGGAGATTAATCCTCTTCAATGCACGGCTTTGAATATTCCTTTTCCTCAAAATAGTAAGGGCAACGTGTGTCTAGAGACACACTTCGTTTGTCCGATGAATTGAAAATATATTCGCAAGACTTTCAAGTATGATACCTTTGAAAAATCCTACAGAAAAGCGACTTTTGATACACTATTGACAGTCTTGTGGCTATGTAATCGCTGTCCGATGAATAAGTGTTATTAGCATGCATTCTCTAAGAGCTCTTTAAGAGCACATTGCTGACATATTGTTGCGACTATATAGTGATTCTTGACATAGGCACATTTCTTTAATCGTGATATTCGTTTTTGTATTTGATATCGAAATGTTTATCAGAATTGACGATGGATTCTCCTCGCTTATCTATAAGTAATATGTAGTAAACTTAAAGTTTAGCGTCATTAAAATTGAATATATTTTACCATAATTATCTAAATTTAAAAGTAATTAATTATTAATATTATATATAATAATAATTCTGTATACTGTGTAGCATATAACTGTATAGTGTATCATCTAATGAATATATACATAGCATATTAGCTACGTGATATGTATTGTATGTATATATGTACAATATGTTTAATGTGATATTATTCCGCAAACTGTTTACGATCTTGATCTTACATCATTAATCAGCAATCAGTATAATAGCTTTGTAATTCAAATCAATTAATAATGTGTGTTTATATGACAAAATTAATAACTTAGTAATTAAATGATATTTAATTACTAAATATACTAAATATAATTACAAAATATAAATCTGATTTTTTATACTAATCGTTATCCAATTATTGATTATTTTATATTTTATTGAAACAATTGAATATTGAATGTATTAAATATTTTAACTGAATTGGAGAAGATAGATATAATATTTTAAATTTTGTCAAAGCTAATTGGCACATACGAAATATTTATAATAAATAATATAAATTGTTTTAGAGAAACTATTTCATATATAAGCTGAATAAACACACTTATAGTACTAAAACTGTGCGTAATCTTTATTACATGAGACTGTTACATGAACCTTGTTCAGAGGTTGCAGTTTATTAGCATAGATGGATGAACTTTGATCGTTTGAGAGTATTATCACTATGGAACGGAATGGTGTTCCACTTTAAGGATTAACGCGATCATAGCCGTGCTTACTTTCTAGGTGCTATATTCACTCATGACCAAAAGGATAGCAGCACGGAGCTGGCCTTCAAGTACGCCGTTTACAAGATCAACAAGGACAAAATTATCCTGCCAAAGACCACGTTGGAATACGATATCCAGTACGTGCCAAAAGATGATTCCTTTCACGCATCGAAAAAGGGTAAGTATTACGTATTTTTGCGTATTTTTCATGCTTAATAAATTCCATATTTTCTATACAATTTATCTTTAGCGTAACCATAGTTTATTTGCATTTCCGTAATTTATGTCTTCGCAAAAAAATAGCAATTTGAAACTCGCGGCGCAGAAAATTCTCTGATGTAATGAAACGATGCTGCATTGCACACGTCTCCATAAGAAATTTCACTGAAGTTAAAAAACATCCCACGCTCATTAATCTCACGGTTTCGTACACGTCAAAAATGATTTATTCTTAAAAGCTTACTTCGTTTTCATGCAGTTAAGAAAGTTGCAAAATATTTAAATGATACATAGCCTTTAATACAAATTCATTTCTTTGACACAAATTTAAAATATTTCTTTATTTATTTTTGAAAATACAAAGGATACAATTTCAACGCGTCTTTATCACAATTTTCATTGTATAATATTTATCGTTAAAATGACACGGTTGAGCAAGATGTACATTAGAGTACATTAAAGATTTTCCCCCCTCCCCATGGAAAATTAATAGTAGATTAAATAACTAACTATGAACAAAAACGACTATAATGAATATAGCATTAACGTTAGGTCGAGATGCTTGATTTATCAAGCAAAATGATGGTACTTAGATAGAAAATACTCCGAGATATCCTGAATATTCTGAGAGTCCTTCTAGTCAACGCTATACGTAAGGTGTTATCGTAAGCAAAATTTATCGTCTTGACAGCATGTATAAACCAGCCAAGAATAACTGGCTTGCTTGCTTCTCGTCGTTATTAAAGTAGCATACACATTATTATCCGTCTCCTGCTTTATCCATCTACTGCTATCGGATACTCATCGTAGAGATCATTGTCTCGCTTCGTGGCATCTTTAAAAATGTATTATGTCTCTTGTCCGATGTACCGAGAAAATTTAAGAGACAAGATCAATATTAAAGTATATCTTGTGGGATTATTTCTCGACATGGTTCCGACAACTGATCCTTTTCTATATAGAAATTGAAGTCTTTTCTTATCAATTTTATAAAAACAGGAATCAAATCTGAGATATAAAATAATCTAGATTATTATTCAATGTTGAAATATATTTGCATCTCTTTTTTGATTCAGAAATACTTTCCATATATTAATTATGATCGTATGACAGACAAAAATGAAATCCGTGTTTTATTTTTATAAAAATGTTTGAATATGAGTTTCGAATCTAAATTCAATAGCTTTTAAAAATTTCATTGTCGAATTGTTTTTATAACACATAACTTTTATAATTTTGATAAAATTGATTTTCTTTTCTTTTTTTACAAATATTTTATTCCTCTAATTTTTTATAAATGCATTAACGTAATAAATTGCTTTATTACTTCAAGGTGAATTTCGTAAAATATTAATCGAGTAAACGCGCGATTATGTTTGACCGAGCAGCAACGTGAGCATGTTACGCAAACATTATAACAAATTGATAAGTGTGATTAGCACTCAAAATCTTTGACAAACATTAATACAGGAAGTAGTCAACAAACTGTTTTTGTTATTTCTATATGCTGTTCTCATATCTTGTTTTTAATGTTCATTTTTTATATATATTTTTTAAATAATATTGCGTTATTCTTTTTTCAATATTTTAAATACTGAAATCTGTTAAAACAAATAAAGTAATTAAACTGATTATAATATAATATATATTACATAATATTATATAATATTTATGATATATTACACATATAAAGAGATATCACATATAAGAACCTGTATGAAGATAGCCCCCCAACATTGAAAAACATAAAGTTTCTATAGTTCATTCGATTGCTCATCGTTTGCACATGTATGCACATTTCGAATTTTCGTTTGCACACTTCTAGTAAAAAAGTTATTAACAAAACAAATTTCGAGGAGCCATCTTCACACTAGCCCCCCAACTATGAGTAAATTAAATAAAAAATAGCTCAATTGATAGATATTCGTTTGCACATTGCCAACCAGGTCGATTTTTCGTTTGCACACCTCTAGTTAAAAAGTTATTAACCATCACAACATTCTTGTTTCTATTTCATCTGCCGAAGTCGCTCGCTTCTAAAACTTTAATTGTTAATAGAGGTTTTTGCCCACTATGTGGGCGTTAGATGGGAAAAACTATGTGGGAACTAGATGGGAAAAACTATGTGAGAAAAAGATGGGAAAAACTATGTGGGAACTAGATGGTAAAAACTATGTGGGAAGAAGATGGGAAAAACTATGTGGGAATTACATGGGATAAACTATGTGGGCGTTAGATGGGAAAAACTATGTGGGAACTAGATGGGAAAAAACTATGTGGGAAGAAGATCGGAAAAAACTATGTGGGGAACTAGATG